TCTTTCCAATGTTCCACACAAACGGTGCTGAGGCCACAGTTTCCTGCTACTTATCCAGAAAAGCTTCAAGAAGTTCATAGAGATGACTCTCTTCTAAATTGTGTGTGTAAAATAGAAACAGGAAATGAAATTAGCTTTTAATGAGTCTTATGTATTTCTATTGATCTAGATGAATCTCTTATGAAAATGATTTTCTAATCTTTATGCCTGGAATGCATATGATATGATATTATTTTTAACTGACAAAATTGTACATATTTATGGTATACAACATATTTCAAGATATACGTGTGTGTGTATATATATACACACACATATATATATACACACACACACATTGTGGAATAACTAAGTAAAGCTAAATAACTTATGCATTACTTCACATACTTATAACTTTTTGTGATGAGATCATTTGAAACCTACTCTGTTAGCAATTTTCAAGTATATGTTTGTTAGTAACTATAGACACTATATTATACAATAGATCTTTTAAACTTATTCCTGCATGTGATCTTTGAGAAACATCAAATTGAAATACTCTTTTGTGAGAAAACCTATACAAGCAGTTGGCCTTGTAATTTAGTGTCCAAATCAGGACACTCTGGGAATGAAAGATGGCACTATTAATAAATACTCCTGAACATGTGCAAACTAGGAATATGCCAGGCAAACCAAGAGTCACCTTACATGCAGACAATAGGTACATGAAATCAGTAGTACTGTGTTTCCCTCTGCCCCAAATATGTGCTTCCCCTCCCCGCAAAAATAACCTCTTCCAGAAGAATGTGCAATTAGAAATTATAATTTTAAATTGGAATTTAAAATCTGCATCAATAACAGAGGTTCCCTCTCTGTTTATTCTTCTGTTCATAAAAATTTAGTCAACATGAGTCCATTCTTGAAAGTAAAGTGATGGCACTGGAAATGTAACAGAAACAAAAAGACATTAACAAAGGTAAACAGACTGGACTGAATGTGCTTGTGGCTTTGTCATAAAGCTCTCTTAAATCTGCTTAAAAAAATCTAGGGGTTGGCAACCTTGTTCTATAAAGGGCCATAGAGTGAGTATTCTGGGGTTTGTGGGGGGGCAGTTTGTAGACCACACAGTTTCTATGCAACTACTTTGTCACTGTTTCAGTGGCAGTCATAGATGTCATATAAACAAATGGGCATGGCAATATCCCAGTAAAATTTTATTTACCAAAACAGGCAGGAAAAGGGGACAGATTTGGTGTGTGGGCAGTCATTTGTCCACTTCTGTTCTAGTAATTCATTTTTTATTTTTTGAGATGGAGTCTCGCTCTGTCACCCAGGCTGGAGTGCAGTGGCACAATCTTGGCTCACTGCAAGCTCCGCCTCCTGGGTTCACGCCATTCTCCTGCCTCAGCCTCCCAAGTGGCTGGGACTACAGGTGCCCACCACAACGCCCGGCTAATTTTTTTGTATTTTTAGTAGAGATGATGTTTCACCATGTTAGTCAACATGGTCTCGATCTCCCGACCTTGTGATCCACCCGCCTTGGCCTCCCAAAGTGCTGGGATTACAGGCGTGAGCCACCTAGTAATCCATTTTAATGCCTAGAAACTGTTCTGGTTGAAGACAAGTAATTTTAGATTTTAATTCTGATGTTCCCTGCCTTCCTGTGACAGACTGGGGCTGTGACTAATGGGACCAATGGGGAAATGCATGGGCCTCACTATTTAGTATACGTTTCTGCTCTTGCGTGCTCCAGTGATTCATGCATGTACTGAGGTGGGTGGGAGAGGGACACCCACCCGGCGACACTTTGGAAAGGGGATGGCAGTTGTGTGGGTTTCACTAACATTTTGGAAGGAAGGCTGCAGGGATGCAGAGCTGGGGAGTGACGGCTATGGTGATTTGGTTTTTCCTATAAATGGTTTTAAAAAAATCCTAGATTAGATTTTACTGTGGGAGAGAGAACAAAACTGCAAGCACCCGAGAGAAATGAAGTTTGGGGTCTGTGCCCACACTGGGAAAAACTTGACTCAAAATTAAGGTAAGCGATCTAAAGAATCACTTTAAACTAGCTCAGCTCTTACAGTGTAGAATAAGAATGAACTGGTGAAGAGAAAAGCTCTAGGAGAAAATCCCTAGATGTCCTAAGATGTTTCCTTTTAGGCATAAAGCACACACTAACAACTCAGGCAAACCACAAGGACATGAGTGATATTAAAGAGAATTAAGTAGACAGTGTATGAAGTGGTAGGAGATATGACATATACACCTTATGTGACTGTGACTAACACAGATGTTCATACATCTCTGCTCCATGGTGACAAGCTGCTGTAATTGCAAACTAAGTTAGGAACTGTGGAGGGTGACCACAGTAATGTTATCTGTTCTAGTTTCAACTCATCAATGGGGTCTATGGTGCATTATACCAAGAGGTAAATCGTATCACAAATAAAGGAATATCTTAGAGGTCTTCATTCCTACCTGTGTTGTTCAGTTAAACACAGGGGATGATTTATATTCACAGTTATTTAATATAATGTTTTTGAGGAGACCCTTTAATAATTGGTAAGTTAACTATAGTCAGTAAGTGATCAATAGCAATTGATTGTCTTTAGGATCTTATAGTCTATTTGGGGTGTGTTTGATACATTAAAAAAACTGGAGACCTCATATAAAGGAAAATATGCTAAAGAAAAATTAATATTGCCTCTGCAGTATGTTATAGAGTAAGAGACATGGGTGAAAGAGTTATCCAGAATGGAATGCTGAGGAGACCCTGAAGGGAATTTCAGGGTGGATGGCCAGCACTGTCACTCGACGAGTGGAGGACTGTGAGCACCAGGTGGGGTGAAATGGGGGTGGAGGGGCAGGCAGCATCCAGGGCCAGGGGAACGAGGCTGGGGTTGAGCCCAGGTACTCAGAAGTCCTGGAGGATCTCAGCAGAGGGGAGACAGGATAGCAGCTGCTGGCAGATGATCTCTTACATGGTGAACAATATGACACTGAAATATTGTCTGCAATGAGTTTCTCTTTAAATGTCATTTATATTTGCCGTTGTTTTCAGATTACAAAAGTAAAAGAGGCAAATTGTAAAAAAAATACAAAACAAAAACAAACAAAAAAAGTGTTCCACTGTCCCGCCTGCAAAGATAACCACCATTAGCAGTAAAGTTGCTTATTAACACTGGGATTAAGGTTTTAAAATAATGGAACTTTGGAATTATAAACAGAAATATCCCCTTATTTTCCTAGTTCCTTTGTGGTTCATATCAGAAAACATGAACTAACACTCATCTACTATTGAGAAGAGGCTTTTTGGTTGTTTTCTCTCTCCCACTTTCAAAATGGGATGCTGTTGGAGAGTTCTGGTCTATATGAAACCGTGAAGTGGAACCCTTTGCTCATCCTTGTCCTGCTTAGAGAAACCACATGCCTAGGACCTGGAAATCCATTCAGTCTAGAGACTGTCAAACGTGTAACTTCCACGGGTAGCTGGAACAGCCCAATCAGGGTATAAGGAAAGGTCAGAGAGACCATTAGAGCTCCCACAGGCTGTATCCCATATTATTGCATTGGTCTAACGGCTCAATTCGGTCTTCCAAAAAGCATTTTTGAGGGTCTGGGTAGGGAAGGTTATCTCTAGTGTGGAAAGAATTATTCCAAGTCTCTGTGTCCCTGAAAGTGCAAAAAAAAAAAAAAACAAAAAAAAACAAAAAAAAAAACAGACATTGCACATTGATAGGGGAGATTAACAAGCCAGGAGAAATACAAACATGCCACCTACTATTGGCCTCTCAAGGATTGAAGGATTAGAAATAACAAGTTCTAATTTCTCCTAGTAATTTCCAGGGGTTGAAGTAAATCAAATGACCTCTTTAGCTGAGCTTATTTATGTCAAAGGAAAGTAATATTCTTTGGGTATAATCTAGTACTTTGAAATTTATAGATGGGAAGTGATATGAGAACCAAACACTGAAAACCTTGGAGCAAATTGTGAAATTTATCCACTTGCTCTTCCACCTCCCCTACAAGTCTACAGTGAAGGATGATTACGATCGTTATAAGATATGAAATCTGGAGGCATGACCGGTCACTGGTTTGGGTTTGCAAAGGAACCTAAGCTTAAGAAAATTATGGACCAAAGGTTGAGCAAAACTCCTGATGAGGAGTAGGTTAGGGAGGGAAAGGAAGAAGTCAATGAACTTGTAAGTTTCAAGGGAGAAAGCAGCAATGCTTTGGATTTTGCCATGGTGAGTTTTACCAGGAAGGCAAGAATAGACCTTGAGGATTTATATTAGACAAAGAAGTGAGAATTCTATAATGCGTGGGTTACTAAGGGCAACTGTAGAAGAGGATTCCCTGTGGGGGTTTCAAAAATAAAATGGAATCTCACCTAGTCTAGCTCTGGCTGAAGGTAGAGAGAATGTGCTGGAAAATGAAAATAGTAGCTTTCCTGTATAGGGCATCACAGTTTTTGAGACTTACACTTTTTATAAAAAAAAATTTTTTATTCTTTTTGAGACAGGCTGGAGGGCAGTGGTGAGATCTTGGCTCACTGAAGCCTCAACTTCCTGGGATCAAGCTATTCTCTCATCTCAGCCCCCAAGTAAGTAACTGGGACTACAGGCTGCGCCACCATGCCCAGCTAATTTTTTGATTTTTTGTAGAAATAAGGTCTCACTATGTTGCCCAACTCCTGGACTGAAGCAATCCTCCCACCTTGGCCTCCCAAAGTGCTGGGATTACAGGCATGAGCCACCACGCCCAGCCAGAGGTTTATACTTTTAAAGCTGACCTGATCTCAGTTGACCCTCACTGAAGCTCTGAGAGGTAGGGCAGGGCCAGAATTACTTCACTTGTGAGGAAATTCAAAGACAAAGGGTTAAGTTCTAGTTGGCAGAAGAGAGATTCAGGAAGGAAGGCAGACCCCGGAACGTTTTGAAGTTCAGAGGGAAATGAGGATTTTTTTTTTTTTCTTTTTGAAGAAAACGTTTGTTCCTTTCCAGGTACACTTGATTACTCACTGTTAAGTAGGCGGAAGTCAATGAATGGGTAGGAACCACGGCGTTCAGCAGGAACCCCCGTCTGACCCCTTAGTCGTATATCTCCTAGAAAACAGAAAATCCAAACAAAGGCTTGAAAACATTGCCACGTGCATTCACTTTTCCCCTGTAAATCCTGTGTAAATCCTCAATGAAACCAACCCCAGATGTCAGGAGAAAAATGGTTCCCTTTTACCATACGGAAGCGAGTGCTGTGTGGAAAGGGATATTTAATGCTGAGTGTAATGAGCTTGGCAATACACCAACAAGGAACATGGGTCTCTTGTATGTGCTCAGAAGACGGGTCTGTGAAAATCACAGCAACTCACAAAGTTCCATAAAAGGACAAAAGTATTTTTATGCTTCCCAGGGCCACAGAGACAAAGCATCTGAATCCAGAAGGATAAATGAGTGTTGCATTGTAGCTTTCATTCTTAGAAGTGTTAATCACCCAGACTATAATTTTTCTTGGTTCCAGCACAATTGTTTTCTGACTAGCATCCACCTTCCTTTTTTCCATACTGTATCATTAATGTGCTTTAGAATCGCCTCACAGGCTAGCCTTGCTCCAGGCATTTGGCTACTCTTGCACACAGGACAGTCTGTAGAGTTTCTAGTACTTATTTATTTGGTTTCCATATATATATATATATGTGTGTGTGTGTGTGTATATATTTTTTTTGTTTTGTTTTGTTTTGTTTTGTTTTTTTTGCGATGGAGTCTCACTTTGTTGCCAGGCTGGAGTGCAGTGATCTTAGCTCACTGCAACCTCTGACTCCTGAGTTCAAGCGAATCTCCTGCCTCAGCCTCCCGAATAGCTGGGATTACAGGCACACACCACCACGCCTGGCTAACTTTTGTATTTTTAGTAGAGAAGGGGTTTCACCATGTTGGCTAGGATGGTCTTGATCTTTTGACCTCATGATTCACCCGCCTCAGCCTCCCAAAGTGCTGGGATTACAGGCGTGAGCCACCGTACCTGGCTGGTTTCCTTTCATATTTAATATCTGTGTTCGTTTTCCTTTTTGGTATGTGTCCTGTCTTTCTCATCAGAGGAGGTAACGGAGTAGAGTGGAAAGAGCATGGACTTTAGAACAAGGTAGGCTTTGGAGAAACCTTGCTGAGACACTTGCTACCTGTGTGATCTTGGCAGATTTATTTCTCTGAGCCTCAGATGCCTCATTTATAAAATGAAGTTAAGACCCACTTCGAAGTGTCCTTGTCAGAGAACCTAAAATAATACTCACTGACTGGCAATAAATGCTGGTTTGCTTCCTTCTAAACTCCTGCAAAGCAGGGATCATGCATATCATGTTATTTACATTTCTCCATAGCACTTTGAATGCTGTCTGGTACTTAGTGGATTCTAAGTGAATGTTCTCTGTTGACAAGAGTAGAAATAAAGGCCAAATTCACCAGTTATTATATATACTATGGAATCAGAGGAGAGGTAGAAATACGGGAGATATAATATATCTCTGGAAGAACTGAATCAGGGAAGGTTTCAATTCCAGTAGTAATGGGTACCCTCCCATAAATCACCTTTTCCCCAAACTAAGGTGGCACTGGGGCCCCGGCCTAGGAGCTGAAAGGAAGAACAGTCCTCTCTCCTTCCTTTCCTAATTCCTGGAGGAAATCAGGACCTGGGTGAGATCCCCATCAGCTGCAACTCATGCAACTGATATGCTTAAAATGACCCTCACAGATGGGCCTTGAGTGTACTGTACTTGGGGTTGTAAAGTGCAAGCCATGAGCTCTTGAGCTATTCTCTGCTTTGAATTTTATACTGGTGCCTTCTTTAATGCTTTGTGTAATCTGATATTACATTGCCATATTGATATGAAAGAATATTGTAATTTATGGATAAATGTTATAAACCAAAGTGAGAGGAAGAGGAAACAGATGGAAAAGTACTTTTATAGGTGTGAATGTAAACTTACATCAATGAGGGTAATGCTGTTAGCTTTAAAAAAATGTACTTATTTATTTTGATATGGGGTGGCTGGTCAATAAAGGAAAGCTACCAAGGAAAGTTGAAGTGTTCTTCTCTCCTCAGCAGTTGTCTTGAACATCATATGTTTACAAAGCACTTTCACAACATGACAATGTATTTATTTTCTTGCTTTTTTTTCTCATTGGGTCTTCATAATAACCCAGTCAGCAGAGACACCTTTATTCTGTTTACTTTATAAGTAAGAAAATAGAGGCTCAGAGAAGAATGGTTATAAAGGACTACTATTCGCTCTGTAGTCCCAGGTAAAGGCACAAGCCCCTTAAAGTCCTGATATAGTAAATATTTATGGGCTTTAACTGAGCTGCCTAAGTTGATGGTGGTTTCAGCTTATAGTCAGTGGGGCTAGCACTTAAATCTAGGCTGTTAGACTTCATAGGCAGAGCTCTCTCCACAATACCACTGGTTTCTAACCTTATGGTTAGAAACACACACCTTATGGAGTGTGTAGACCAGGTTTTTAAAATGAAAAAAGAAATGAAATTCTTAGATCCTCACATAAAAGAAGTTGTAGTTTTAATATCAATTGAGAAAATACAGCATGTTAAAAGGATATAACAGACGCACTGACTTTAAACACATTTGTGTTGTATAATGGTATATAGTAAAAATGATGCATGGAGGAGACCGTATAGATTTTGTCTACCAAGCAGACTGGGCTTGTGGATTTGTTGACCTGTTGCTGTAATCTCATGGGCTCCTTCCAGCACTTTCAGTCTCACCTTTTGGAAATCACTTCTCCATTAGTATTTTCTTCTCAGTATTACCAAAGAGTTCCTCTTGACTTTGTAGCTATGAGGTTACCATTTCCCCAGAAAGTGTCTATGTAATATTGACGAAGGTTTTAATGCCTGTGACAGGATTTCTTCCTGGTCTCCACCTGAGAGTCTAGGGCAGAGGAGGCCCATTAGCATGTAAGGTTTTAGATTTAGGGAAACTGAGGAAGAGTACCCTGTGGCCGAATGGATGAAGGGAGGGCAATACACTGGGAACTTGGGGGCTCCTGTACTGAGACGACCAACGTTTTGCCATCTTGGGTAACCCTGGATGAATCAGTAATCACTTTGAAGTCCAGTTGTCTAATATTTAAGTTGCATAAATCATAGCAATTTTGTCTACATCACAGAGTTGTTGTAAGGAAATTATAAGGTATGTGAAAATAATATGGTAGATAACATTCATTGAATACTTACACTGTGCTGAGCATTTTACACATATTATTTCACATCATCAACCCAGCAACTCAAAGTAGTTATTATTATTATTATTTGACTATTTTGCAGATGAGGAAACAAAGCCAATGGAAATTTGATAATTTGTTCAGACTCATAGAGCTAGAAAGTGCAGAGCTTATGCTTAAACTCAGAACTGACTTGAAACCTCATGTTCTTAACCACTCTCCTATATTATTAAGACGAAAAATTGTTTAAACAGGTCAGCATTAACTTTTTCTTACATAATGTATGCTTTGATTGCTGTTTGCCAATAAACCAAATATACAGTCATAATGATTTGTGGAAAAAGAATACCAGGAGAATCCCACTCCCTTGATGAGTTCACAGTTGAATCAAAAGCAGTTCAGTGGAAATGGACTGTACAAGCAAGACAAGCAAATCCTGTCCTGGATCAACAAGGAATCTATTACTTTCAAGTAAGAAAACAATTACTAAAAGTATTCTTCAGCAGAACTGAAATTAGCTGACAACAAATTTTCATACTGCATCCTACTTTGGGAAGAAGAGATAAGTAGCAATGGAGCCAGGTGAGGGCAAAGATACCTAAACAAGCAAACAAACCCAAACAAGTCAGCACTAACAACAAATAAGGAAACCATACCTGGAAGATTCCATTTCAGTGCCGACACTGTCCATAACTACATTGCACTTTGAGAAGCTGATTCCTCAGAAACCTGACAATGCCCCTTTGGTGTAGTAAATAATCATTTGCAAAAGGATGAAATCATGTTAAAAATACCAATAAGGCAGGAGGCAGGACAGTTGTTAAGTATGCTAACAATGCATCTGAGAAATTTCACAACATGAAAACAGTTCAATACAAACACACCAGATATTCCCAATCTTCTTAAGCATTCCATTTAATGGAAGCATTCATGTAGTAGGATTTATGTGTTAATGGTATATTTCTAATATAGAAAGTTTTCTTTCCTTCTCCCTGCTTGAAGGAGCCTGTTCTGATATTAAATTGCTTTAATACGCCGGTGGGAAGAGAGAATTAATTCAGTAACAACAGTCCTCAGAGGAGCAGAGGCTACTGGGCTGTTGTCCGAGGGAAAGAACAAGCGGTGTCCTGCCTAGCTGCTTTTCCTGGCCCAGGGTCTCAGGCAATCATCTATTTACCTAAGGCCTTATATCCAAGCTAAACAATTATTTTGACTATTCATTAAGTCCTTGTTTAACTTAAGCAACTTGCTTTTTTTCTTCTGGCAAATGAAAGGTGCTGGGGAAGCTGGTAGGAAGCGTTGACAGCCCAGAGTCATGTCCCCAGTCTGTTCTCATTGTGTTCCAAAAGGAAACAAACAGCAGGGGCATTCTGATTTTGAAAGGGCTGCTGCTTTTTTTGCCCCTTCAGGCTGACAACATCACATGTCATCCCCTGTACTGAAGGCTGCAAACAGGCCCAGAGCTGAGCCGAATTGCCCCAGGAGCCACGACCTGACCTGACTACAGCCCCTCACCCTCCCTGAGGACATGGCTCCGGAATAGACCTATTGCTTACTTGGCCTCTCGTGCTGCCTCTGGTTAATAAAAGCTTGTGCTAGGAAGCAGACGTCTATGTGGCCTCTTATGTAACTGGCAAAGAGGGTGGAGACTCTGACAGCGATGACAACTTACAGTGGCTGAAACAAAGCCATGTGACAAGAACCAGACTCTGGCCCCTGTCGTGGTATGTCAAGGTCATTTCAGGGTGAGGAAAAGGTGTCAGAGAGGGACAGAGCAGTAGCTACTGGGCTCCCATGGCATCTGAGATGAATGAAGAAGATAGTGACATTCTTGGTATAAACAGGTTGCACGGAATATTAGATAGAGATTCATAG